GACAGACAGACAGACAGACAGACAGACAGACAGACAGACAGACAGACAGACAGACTGTGATCATCGTCGTTGCGGTTCCTTCTGCTCCCATTTAAAGAGCTCTCTTCTCTTGTTTGCTTACACTGTCTTCTTTTCTGGTTTGGTATTACGTGAATTATTGTTGATGATAGTTTTTTTCGCAGGAGAGGGGGGGGGGCGACAGGACGGAATAGATTTGAAAATGGCGTATAATAATAATATATCCTCCTCTTAGACCAAAGCGACTCATGCAGAAAACCGGAGAGAAATACAATTGACTTTTCCCCCAAAAAAAGAAGATGCTATACTTCCTTCATATAGAGAGGCATTTGAAGACCTCGGGTGTGTGTGTGGGGGGGGGGGATTTACGCCATCAACCACAGGGAAAATATTGAGGACTCTGCCTTTCTCTCATGTGTTCGTATGAACTACTGCAGTTTTCTCCCTGTGTGCGACGGATTCAAACACTAGAACGTTACTACAGTACTGTAGTTTCTGATTAAAACGGTATTGGTGAACACATGCTGATTGATCGATCAAAACAGAAAACGGCAAAAGTTGAAAACTTGTGAATAGACCTATTGCAACCCCCCCCCCCTCCCCCAAAATAGGGATTCTTCATTAGTTTTCCTTTTCTTTGTGTCCTACCTTCTATTTATGTTTATGTTGTGCACTTTAACTTCCTTGTCAAACCTTGTCAGTATGGTTAAATTGGTATAATTGTTCTTTTTCATTGAGTCGATAGACCTACTATTAAAAACCCCGTGCACAGGCTTCCGGAGATAAAACATGATATTACTGCTAACTGGAGCTTTAAAATCAAATCACTTATTTTGAATTCTTGGCTTTTCAGAAAGTGACATCAACTTCCTTATGAGTATGGCCCTTCAGAAAATTGCCTTTCTTCCTTTCGGTTATTTAATTGACCAATGGCGTTGGAGTGTGTTTCGGGGAGACACGAGTCCGGAGGAGTACAACGACCACTGGTGGGACCTCAGGTAATAGAGGCACGAGACGGCCTAAGAAAGAGAATAATATAAGAAACGCTTAAGAATATAGGGCCTATATGTGTGTATGTTATTTCAAAATGAGTACAGTCAACTTAAACAGTCATGCAGTGCTTTAAAAGTGCAAAAAAAAGACAGAAACAAAATATAGAAAAGGAAACCTTGTCTCAGTGGCGAGATTTGTAACACAATGACAGACATAATGAAAACATCATCATCAAATATTTTGTTGGAGCAGACAATGGCTGTTTAATGACTCACCATCCATCTCTTTTCTGCCACTCAAGGCCCTCTAAAAATGAGTTGCTATTCATTCCTATAGTAAATTCATCACACATTTACGTGCGTAAACACTCTCACGTGTGCAAGCTAATGCTTTCATCATCAACATCATCATCATCATCATCATCAACATCATCATCATCATCATCATCATCATCATCATCATCATCATCATCATCATCATCTTATTGTTGTTGTTGCTGCTATTGCTGCTGTTGCTGCTGTTGTTGTTGTTGTTGTTGTTGTTGTTGTTGTTGTTGTTGTTGTTGTTCTTCTTCTTCTTCTTCTTCTTCTTCTTCTTCTTCTTCTTCTTCTTCTTCTTCTTCTTCTTCTTCTTCTTCTTCTTCTTCTTCTTCTTCTTCTTCTTCTTCTTCTTCTTCTTCTTCTTCTTCTTGCTGTGGTGTTATTGTTATCATTTTTATTATTGTTATTATTGTAGTTGTAGTTATTATCAAAATTATTATTATTATCATTATTATTATTATTATTATTATTATTATTATTATTATTATTATTATTATTATTATTATTATCATCATCATCATTATGACCATCAACATAATCAGATCATCACCTCCTTCAATATCGCCGATTTTTAAATTATATTTGTTGCTGTTTACAAGCCCGACATTTTGCCTACCATAGATGCCGCTACCAAGGCGTTTCCCCACCGGTTGAGAGGAGTTCCTCTGATTTCGATCCAGGGGCAAAGTACCATATTCCAGCAAACACTCCGTACATAAGGTAAGTAGGTAAATAGGTTTTGGAACAATACTTTTTTCCCGATAGTTGTAGATGATTTACGCCCACATCTAAACGATTTAGGTCGTCATTTAGGGGGCAAGATGCTTCTGCCCAGTCTGCTAGGGCCGACCCGGGCTGACATGGACAAAATAAAATCCCTGTAAACATACGGAGATCGCTTAAAGACATCCCCATACAGGAATCGAACTCACATCTTCACCGTGCGATGGCAAGCGCTCAACAGCTTCCCCGCAGACATTGGTACTTCTTCCAGAGAGAGTAGAGTGAGTACATTGTGGGGCAAGGAGGGGAGGGGAGGGGAAAACTGAAGCAAGAAAGGGAGGGGGCAAAGAGGGGGGGGGGGTAGGAATGAAAGAAAGGGGACTAGGGAGAGAAATTATGAAGGAAATGGATTAAGAGGGGCCAGCAATAGTTTCAACAGTCAGCAAATAGGTTCTCTGTTAAGATAACGCATTAAATAAGAAAGAAGTTAACTATTTTCCTTCCTTTAATTCTCCACAAAACGAGTTATTTTTCTGTATCAACGGGTCTCGCATTTGACGAGCGTAGGCCTCATCGTCATCATCAAGTGCCAGATCTGCAGCAGACATCGGTGATCATAGTTCTCCATTCATCCATTTGCTCGGATGCTCTTAAAAAAAGCTACGTTACCCCGATATTTCCACGTTACCCATCTATTCAGGTTCTCTAAGTAGGTTGCTCTGGTCTTACCCCTGCGTTGTTTGCCTCCAATGTTGCCCGTGAGAGCTAGATGTTCAAGACCTTTTATGTCTATTCAGGTGTCCCAAAAACTATTCTCACAATTTAGTTGGCTCTGCATGAGCAGGGAAATCGTATGAGAGCCCCAGACCTTTTAAATTATCTTATATCACTGTGTTGGTCATCGCATCTTGTCAAGTTATCCCAAGAATCTTTTCAAAGCCTCTCATGTGCTCACAATAATGATAATTATGAGGAATGTCCTGGTGCTGGTTGTGGTTTGGTTGGGTTTGATTCTCTTTATTTCAACAGTTGTTATCCCTGCTTCTATGAATCTGCTCCTGTTGCTGTGGAGCGTCCGAAGTCAGTTTGGTAAGAATTAATTTTTGCCCAGATGGCGGGCGATGAATACTCTTACCGATTTTAGCACCATCAAAGAATCTTTAACGTGCGCACTTGCACACGGGACCACCGAGATTTGTCGCCTTTATCGGAGAAAGTTAGGTGTTAGATCTTACTTTCCCTAAGATCAGGGACAGCCGAAAGACATCAGTAAGAAAAAGTCAAAGAGTAGCAGTAGAAAGTGAGCAGAAAGAGTCAGGAGCCCAGAGGGAGGGGCGGGGGCAGAAAGTGGAGACGAAAGTACACGACAGAACATGGTCAGAGAGCAGGAAGGAGGTGAAAGGAGAATATTTTAGAGAAGAAAATTTTCCGTTGCTGTCAGATTTCGAACCCGGGACCTATTAAGTGAGAAGTGAACACCGTACCTCTAGACCACGAAAGACCCCTTCTGCTTTATATGCATTGTCTGATCTAAGGTCCACGAGTTTCCGACGGTATATATAAAATTATATATATTATTACTTTGCAGTTGGCTTGAGTGACAAAAACTGAATGATCCCTTTTCAAAACCCTGACAGCATTCTCATTCCAGAAACTTTCTCATCGTTTACTTTTTTATGAAAATACGGTTGTCACTCTCCTGTAATTTCCTTCCCCAGGTACTTTGTGAGCTTTGTGATTCAGTTCCAGTTCCACAAGGCTCTGTGTAACGCCTCGGGCTACACCGGTCCTCTCCATCGCTGCGACGTCTACAACAACACGGAGGCCGGCAAGGTACTCGGGTAAGTCCTCCACACTGACTCTTGTTTCATTTGTTTTAGCAAGCGTTTCACGGCACTTGCAACACAACTAGGTCACATAAGTGCCGAAGATTAGTGGTGTTACAAGAGAGTAACAAACAAACAAAAAAGAAGGAAAGAAAAGGACAGTAGATGTTTGATAGTAAAAAAGGAGCAAACCACACTATAATAGCACACGCCAACCACCCACAAGCTGACTCTGAAAAACATTGGATGCTTCGAGTTCATATGGAGCGTTTAAAATCTTACAATTTTTAAAAAAGAAGTTTACTAAACAAGAGTGTCTTTGATGCTCTTTTTCTCAACCAGGGACATGCTGAAACTTGGTTCTTCCAAGCCCTGGACCTTCGCAATGCAGCAAATGACTGGCCAGGCTACTATGGATGCGCAACCACTGATGGAATACTTTGAACCGCTTCTCGAATTCCTACGCCGTGAAAACGGCAACGACTACGGATGGCACCCACACTGCCCGACGTTCAAACGGAGTGTCGGCGATAATTCTGCTTTCAGCGTATTGCCCTCGACAATTTCCATCGTGGCCACAATAATAGCGATGTTGTACATGAACACGCTTAGGTAAAAAGAAAATTAATTAAATCAAATCAAATAAACCAGGAGAGAAGAACAAAAACTAACAACAACGGCTGATGTTACTAATATGGCCGACTTTTTTTTTTTTTAAAGAAAAAAGACTGCATCAAAACAGAAACCTATTGAAAATTAGATTTGTCTTTAACCTGTAACGTACGTATCTCTCCCTTTTTGATATCACGAGCCTCCCATATTCATAGATATTTGTAAAGGATTTTAACAGAATTCGTTCAATTTTCTGATTAGATTTGACATACTGCATGTTCACGATATCTGTTTTCTAATTTACAGCCAGCTCAAGCTAAACTTTTCTTATATATTGAAATAGACATGCCGTTCAAAGAAAGATGTTCTCGTTTTGCGATGTACCCCCTGTAAACTGCAATTTTTCTTCTACTGTTGACGATAATAGCACCTGAAGATGACATTCTTGTTTTCACCTCATACTGGCATATATATCTATGATGATGATGGTGATGGTGATGGTGATAATGATAATGATAATAATAATAATAATAATGTTAATCAGTTCTATGGCACACGTTCCTGTACAATAGTCTACAGCGCTATGCGCTTTACAGTACAAGTACTAGTACCTACTTCTTGACACATGTGTATGAACATGCATGCATACGGTACGCTCTTTAGATTAACGCTAACACATAAGCAGACATTCATACTATCACAGCACAATCAATTGCGGTGTGCACAACACATTATGAACGTAAGAGTGCTATGAATTTTTTTTTTTTAAACTATCTACCTAGATCTTATTTCATGAAGTATGTTTTTAAAGAAATTTTTAATTTTTGCCTCAGACTTTGTATCCTTCAAATGTTGTGGGAGAGAGTGTCATAAAGATGGAGCTTGATGAGAAAAGGATCCCCCAACGAGTTTTTGACCACCTTCTTAATCTTAGTTGCTCTAAAAAATCTTTGACATATTTGAACATCTGAATGAGGTTTAAGTACAATGGGGGCAACATTATTAACACATTAAATTCATTTATGACAAAGGACAGCGCTTCTCTTTATTAAAACATCTACTGTTGGGTGATGTGATATATATATATATGTATTATATATATATATATATATATATATATATATATATATATATATATATATATTATATATATATATATATATAATGTATTATAATATGTATATAATAATAATGTGCGTTTATGTATTTGTTTGTGTTTGTTGTGTTAGTTTTTAGTTTTTTACTGGTATTTTATATTTGGGCGGGTGGGGGTAAATCGGTCTAGATCTAGAAATTTGTGCTTTCCTTTGTGTCTATTATAAATTATTATTTCACTCACATGTGAATATGTTCAATTTTTTTTTTTATTATACCTGGATGTGTAGGCTGCATAATTATCTGGGAATTGTTGTCATTGTGATTTTTTTTCTAACAGTAAATGGCCATATATAGAACTGTGCTTTGTTTACACTAATGCATGTTGTTGTTGTTGTTGTTGTTGTTGTTGTTGTTGTTGTTGTTGTTGTTGTTGTTGTTGTTATTGTTGTTGCTGTTAATATTATTGTTGTTGTTGTTGCTACTGCTGCTATTGATGTTGCTGCTACTACTCCTACGGCTGTTGCTGTTGTTGTTGATGGTGGTGGTATTGTTGTGGGGTTGTTGTTTTTTTAATTGAGCAGTCCTCTAAGACAGTGAAATCCTGACGCGTATTGTCCTTTCGTCTCAGATCCAAATAAAAAGAAAATTAATTTAAAGCTGCTATTCATTTATTTGTACACGTTGAGAATTTTGATCAAGCATCACTTATAACATATTACTATGTGTAGATCCCTGAACACACTTGCCTATCTGTACCTACTATGATTGAGATCTATGCAATAAACTAACCAAGGAGAATCATTCCACTCGATATGTCCATGTCTGTGTTGTTGTTTTTTCGTACCCTGTGGCCTATGTTGCATTTTTCTGTTGTCTATTTTGGTAGGGTCTACCATAGACCAAAATTTGAAATGTCATAAAACATCTCTTTTTTAATTTGAGTCTCTACCAAGGATACTAGGTCTGAAAAATATTAGGCCTGTCTTGACATATAGAAAAGACAGAGACGCCTTCACCGTCTTGACACGTCCATAAGGAGCTATAGAGTTGTTTCCTTTTTAAACAGTGTAAATTGTAAATCTATGTTAGGAGCACATGTCTTGACATTGAAGTCAAATTTAAGGGGAAACCAAAAACAAAAACAATTTTTTTAATAAAATGTCTACATCTGTGTGTTCCAGGGCTAATCGATTTTACTAGATTCCACCCATGCTCAAAACTGCATTTGGTCCTCTAATCCGTTCCTACTTTGATTAGATGCCATCTCGGTGTACGGCACTCGTGTCAGTCTCAGGATTGCACGTCAACGGTCGAAAGTTGGTCAGCCAGTCGACCTCTGAAAACCCCAAGCTCAAGTTAGTCCCCC